CTTGTTGGTTCTACCAGAGTATTCTCTATCATCACCAAATGTGATAATCCAAATTCAGGACATCCCATGCTTGGACAAATAATGGCTTTTTTTTTTTTTTTAAGAATAGATTTGAACTTTCAGGTGTCTTCTACCAAATATGAATTATACATCTTAGAGTGGGAATGTGCTGCGAGATTTGAGTACTGATGCCAGATGCAAAAAGTATGAAAGATAAGTTTGCTTTGTATTGTCTCAGGCACTGCACATTTTGACGAGGGGCAAAGGATGCGAAAATAACTTTGTGACTTAGAGCCTCGCATTTGTGGAGCCATAGTCTTCCCTGAATAGAATGCATTTAGGCTTCTTCTGTATCTGACTTGCCTCTGGCTTGAAATAGGTCATCATCTTTATTGCATTGCAAGGGAGTGCTTATTTGCAAAATTAATGCACAATTATCCACAATCGGCAGATTCAAGTTGATATATTCCAGTATATCTGGAATATTTCCAGTCGTCTGGCTGCCTGTGTCTGTTAGCCTGCGTCAGCTTCCTTGTGTCAGCAGCACTAAAAGGAGAATCAAATCTAATCTCTTGTGATAGAGAATAACCTTAACCTAATGCTACCAGATAGGACAGAAACATTTATTTGATGCTTTTTTTGGAAAAATGATAAGGTTATCCATGCTGTAAAGGATTCATTACTTTTTCATGGAACTACAATGAAACAGAATGTCTCACATCCCTGTGCCGTTTCCTATGGAAAGGGACCATTCTTGCATGTGGGCAGTACTAGATGCACTGCAGATTTCCTTCAGAATGCATTGAGATTTGTAGCAACTGTCTCTTAGGCTGGCATCGATTTTTGTGTTTCTGTAAGATACTTGGCAGTTGTGGGTTTACGGTTTTCCTATAGGTGTGTAGCTTCAGAAATGCAGTGGAGTGCCCGTAAGAGTAAGAAAAAGTAGGTCTGCTCTTTCTTAATAACCATCAGGCTTCTGCAGTTTTCTTTTACTTCTAAAGAAAGTGTGAATAAAGAGTGGATAAAGGGATTACTTTAATCTTTAAAAACTTGGTTTTATTCTGTTGTGTAGGAACAAGCTCTTTGGTCCAGAACCAATTGATAAAAGGATTCCATATGTCATTTTTTGCTGTCTCTGTTGTTAGGTAGTTCTTTGCTGCTTTCCTGGAATGTATGTGCTTATGGGGAATGAGACACTTGCTAGGCAGTTTTTGTACATTTAGGTTTTATCTGGACAGTTTGAAGAAACCTATATGCGTGTAAATGCTGCTGAATTCCAGAGATGTCATTCTTAACCTAGTGTTTCAGGGTTTTTTCCACAGCAGAGATAGGGATATATCTTGGCTCGAGGTTGGTGAGGTTGGGCTGTGCACATGATGCAAACTTAGCTGTCTGAACAAGCAAGTCTGCGAGGAGGAAAGACAGGCTGAAGTTGCTGGCTCTGCTGGCTGTGTCAGTGCAACAGGTGTGGTGTAGTTTTTGTGAGGCAGAAGCCGTGTGTACTGTGGTGGGCAGAGACAGACTTCTTTGAGTCAGGTGAGGTCACTTGCTCTGAGTTCTGTTAGGAAAAGACTTGAGTTCCTTCAGTTGAGTTGACGTAGCCATAGATCCTGCATAGTAGGATGCAATATACCTGCACACGGGTTGATTCTTAAGGAGCTAGCTACTTAAGGGTTGCTCTGGTTCACAAAAAACCTGTGACTAAGCTTATTCGCTGGTGTAGAAAGCCAGAAGGTGAGTTCTCTTAAGTAAAGTTAAGTACAGGTTGCCACTTAAAAGGGAATTGTGAAGCTTGGAAATTTTGTCATGGCATATGTATTCTTGTGCGTACTTGGTTAGGACTAGAATATGCTAGTCAATACTAGATTTGTGAAAGTTTTCTCATCTTGTCAGAAGACTTTTGATGAATATGGGACACAAAATAGCTTTTCCATTTCTGTGTGCAACAAGTAATTATTTGTTGCTATGGTTGACTTTGATAAATTTCCTTCTGCCTTCAGCGTAGTTTTAACTGTGTGAGAAGCCTTTCTAAGATTATAGAAATATAAAGTTTGCCTGTAAGATTCACTTGTGGAAAGGCTCTTGGTTTACTGCACAGATGTATAGTAGGTAATTCAGGGAAATGTTTTTGGTTCCTCTGAGAAATTTTGTCTTCCATTAGACTTCAATTTCAGCTTCTTCAGGTGAAGATATTTTTACTGTAGCCTGGCAGCTGACAGTAAGCTTAAGGGTTTTTTCTTCAATCATGGAATTACAGATTGATTTGGGTTGGAAGGGACCCTGAAGATTATCTAATTCCAACCTCCCAGGCATGGGCAGGGACACCTTCCACTAGATCAGGTTGCTCAAAGCCTTGAACATTGTCAGGGATGGGGCAGCCACAACCTCGTGGGGCGACCTAAAATGGTCACTCAGTTTTTGCACTTGTCATGATATGAACTTAGGAGGAAGATGTCTGCCCTTGTTAAACGCTGTTTGGTCTCTTGCTGGCATCCCCTAAATAACATGCTTCCATTGTACATATTGGTGTTGCTCAGTTATATTTGTTTTTTGGTATCTTCACTATAAGAGAAGAGAGAAGCAAGGTTGTGGTTATGGACACAAAATAGAAAATAACATACAAGGAAGGAAGTTACTCATTATCAATCTTAAAAAAAAAAGGTATTTGGAAACTCATCTGGCAGGGGCTCATTCTGCTTGGCACTAGTGAGGCCTCACCCCAAATGCTGTATCCAGTTTGGGACACTTCCCAAAACAAGAGAGACATAAGAGGGAGTCCAGTGAAGAGCCAAGAAAATGATTAAGGGCTGCTGAATGGAAAATGGAGCCAGGCTGTCTTCAGCAGTGCCCAGTGACGGGGCCAGGGGCAGTGGACACAAACAGAAACAGGAGGTTCCTTCTGAACATCAGGAAACGTTTTTATTGTGAGTGTGACTGAACACTGGCACAGGTTGCTCATGTAGGCTGTGGAGCCTCCATCCTTGGAGATATTCAAAAACCGTCTGGACATGGTCCTGGGCAGCCTGCTTGAGGAGGGGTTTGGAACAGATGACCTCCAGAGTTCCCTTCCAACCTCAATCCTTCTGCAATTCTGTATTACTTTGTCAGTGAAGAATGTTCCCTCCTCACCCTCCCCATTGCCGGGCGTTTAAGTGGAGTAAGTTGTTGATGTGATACAGCAGATGTTGAGGAAAACCTTTGCTGAGTAAAATTGCCAGAGTGACCAAATAAGAGGAGTTTCCTTAAATACTAATAAACTTGTTTCTGAAGATTAATCATGACACGATTCCTAAGACTGCCAGGAATTTTGAGTGTACACACCCAGGTTAACAGCGTATTGCCAGTTACATGGGAATTAAACATCCTAATATATTGACACCCTTATATTGAACAGGTTAATTGAAATGGTGTTGATTCAAGCTTGTTCTTTTCACCAAGCATACAACTAGCTCTTGCCATCTTGGGAAAAACTAGCAAAACACAGAAATGCTTCTTTTTGCTGCTGGTTGGCAGTCTCAGCTTCAACGTGATAAATTGATTGCAACTTGAGAAGCAAGTTGACTTCCACAGTTGTCTCAAGAGAATTTGTGTACAGAATACTTGAGTAGCACACTCTTTGGTGTCCCCCATACTCCTCACTCTTTATAGTTTGGTTTGCTTGTTCCTGAGCAAACTATTTTTGCTCAACTGCAGCTTCTTGATGAAATCATTGTTCTGGTAGCTGTTCTAAAAATTGGTCTAGAAGTGAATCAATCATTAGTTTCCTTCAGGAAATTGCTGCAGATAACTGATATATAGAATTAGGATGGGGAAATAAGGTGGTGTGCAAAATGCAATTTCAGTATTTTAGAGGGCGTTTATTCATCAATTTCTAAATTTAAGTGATAAAACTTGTTTTGATCCAGCTTGGATTACATCCTATTAGTGGTGCCTACTTTAGAAAATGAAGTTATCTGCTTTTTATTTTTTTTTTTTTTTTGGAAGAGGTGGGTTGTCACAATTTGTACATCCAGACCTGGTCTTGAGGCTTGTATATATTTTAATCCGGGAAGTAGAGAAGAGTTAAACTGAAAAAGGCAATGGGAGTCTTTGAACTACCTTTGGAAGAAGCACTGTTTATATTGCCTTCATTTCTTCCTGCATCTAAAAACTGATAGAATAATTTTTTCTGATAGGTAGTCTAAAAACAGTACAGATGAAGAGTGATTCTCCTTTCTTCCTCCCTTGTCCTCAGCTATAAATTTCTGAATTTGTTTGGACTCAAGTAGCTTCTTACATCAGTGTAGCATTATTGCTTTAGAGGTTTGGGTTTGCGCTTTGCTGCCTTTTTAGATATAAATTTGAATTCATAATGCTGTTCACCTACAGTAGCCTCCAGGTCCTAAAGTTAACTCTTTCAAGTTGTGCAGAATCAGTGGCAACATAAGTTGCTTCACAGTACAACACCCCAAGTTGTTGCTGCGCACTAGAGGTAAATGGGTTTTCCACATTGTGTCCAAGGTCTATAACTTGCAGGGTAGACTGAGTACAGAAGTCAAGGTGTAAAAGGTACTCTTTCAGATCAAAACATCCTATTCCCATGTAAATAGAACACTAGGTCTAGGTTTTGTGAGTGTTGTTTACACAGATTATGGAGATTTGATAGAAAAACTCCTTCGTTAAACTTTGTGGTACTGTAGAAATTGGGTTGCAAAGTCTTGCAAGGAAAATACCTAATATGATCTTAATAAACAAGAGAAATAAACCATTCTTAGAAGTTGTTTATTCAATGGGGTCCTGAGTTTTAAACCCAAATTTGATTTTTCTCTGTTTGTCTCAGAAGCACGCTATTACTGACGCTGGATGAAGAGGATAGCCTTTTGCACTCCTTTATTGATAACTAAAATTTTTACTATGGACTTATTAAATATCAAGAAAATGTTTTGGGGGTTGTTTGTTTTAGGACAGATTCTGCAGGGTCCTTTTGATGATTAAAAAACTTAATTTTCTGTTTTAGGTGTGGAATATCAAACAGATGATTAAATTGACTCAAGAACATATAGAGGCACTGCTAGACAAATTTGGAGGAGAGCATAACCCACCATCGATATATTTAGAGGTAAGTTTATGCGGTTCAATTAATGGTATGTTATCTTAATCTTATATGAAGCATCTTATGTTAAAACTGGGAATACCTGTAGTAAAAGAGAGTATTCTCCTTGTATATTACAAACTTAACTCTTTTCTTGGAGATAGAGAGGAACTGTATGGGATTCCTGATACACATCAGTAGGGGAAGATCAGTGGTGTGGTCTAATAATTATATTGGTGCAACTAAAATGTCAAGCATCCTTTTTAGGGGCCAGGGAGGAGAAGATTGTGTGTGTATAATAAAGTCATGCTCTGTTAGAAGCAAATATATACACATACACATGAAAACATTTCATAAGAGTAACTTTACCTTTAAAGCAGTTGACTTCACTTTTTTCCCTTTGAAAAATGATCATGTATAATCCAAAAATTTCTGTTACTAGAAGGGAACTTCTTAAATACGTACAATTGTGTGTGGAGTAATATTTTTAAGCCATGTTTAATTTGTAAGCTAACTACAAATTAAATGTCTGTATTCTTTCATCATTCTAGATTCATAAGTTGTGTTGATGTAGGGCCATTAAGAGCTTAAAGAACTGTATGCAAAAGTTACCTCTGTTAGGAATTGAATGGACATCACTTCCTTCAAACGTGCCCTTTTCTTGCTTCTCTCAAGTATTGGAATAACTGAAGGTCAACCAGATTTCTTTTGTAGTCTTTGTAATTGCTGCCTAAAGGTACTGGGTAATTAAAAATAAAGATCTCATTATTTGAGGTACTTCTAGCTTTTATCTTAATATGTCAGAGCAGGGCGCTAGCTTGATTGTACAAATGTTGACATTACGTCCTTAACAGTTAAGGTCAAGTGAGGCCCTCCCCAGTTGCTTTACTTACTGCTAATGTGAAGTGGGAGCATTGAATCACTGCTAATCACTATTTTAACCACTCAGTGCTACATATAAGCACACCTCTGTTTTCACACGAACTGGTTCGTTCCATATGTCTGGATTTATTATTGCCACAGGTATGTGGGTTTCATAAGATTGTGTATCAAATTGCAGTAATAGTGAGCTTAGGCTGTAGTAAGTCTGGACTACAGGTAGTGAAATTGTCGGTTCATTGCAGCCATTTGTCACTTGCTTGTGTCTAAATTAAAACTGAGATTCAACACTGGAAGCTCTCTGATTGTTTTGTAGGTCATTGGTAGGGGAGAGAGCATTTGCAGTCATAAATATGTACTGGGAGATGATTACAGCAGCATAAATGGTATGGTAAGTCTGAAATAGCTGGTGACCATAAACCATGAAGCTTAAAGTAGATTTGCAAGTTCAATGGATCCATGTGCCACTGATCTGAAACTGCAGCTCTGGCTCATCAGCATGGTAGGGAAGCCCTGTGAGGCAGAGCAGGATGTTCCTCTGCTGCAGTGAGTTCTACTGGATCATGGAACAGGTCTTGTGACAAGTAGTGCTGGTACTGAGTAGAGAACCATGGGGAGGAAGGTGAAAGTGGCTGACATTCTGCTTTTTCAGTTGAGTTATCCCATGAGACAGTGAGTCCTGTGAAAAGAGCCCATCATAGTTGAAATGAAAAGCCTTGTTCTTACCAGCTCTTTGGTGTGAGACTCCTCCACTTCCTTTGTTCAGGTGCCTGCAGTACTGGCAGTGACTAAGCCACTCCCAATCACTAAGGAAAGGAAAATTTTCTGGTTTCGTTGGATTAGTTTGCCATCCAGTTAGTAGATTGAACTTGATGATGATGAAGTCCATTGAGCTGCAAAGCTGTGGTTGAGGTCAGGGAAGGGGAAGAGCTTGCAGCTTTTAGCCAAGAACCTAGAAAATAGTGTGAGAGAGAAGTAGAACTTCTATTTGGATGGTCATTAGCATAGATTAGATCACCCTTAGATGGATTTATTAAAGTGAACAGGATTAAATGCTCCAGACCTGTAATTTGTTTAGTGTGTAGATTTCCTGTGGTAGAACTAGTGTCAAAGAAAGAAAGAAAAAGAAGTAGATTACTGAGTGCCAGATACAGTCAGAAGCAAGATTACTCTATACCCTTGACTTTTCATTTCATCCCAGCAGCAGTTGTCTAGTGTGTCCTTTCTGTGCCTTTTCCACCTTTTTGGCTGCTTTTGCCTTGGTCAAGACAGGGGTTGCTTTCCATTATCAGCATTTCCTTTGCAGCAGTTTACCTGAATCTAACCTGTCACCGCTACAGCTAATGTTTTGACTTAGTGTATTCCTTCACCTGTCAGAAAAAGTCTGGTTGCAGCATAGAGGGACAAAGCTATATGTAAAAAGCTCTGATTGTAGTGTGATTACATGTGTAAGAATATGTTTATGTTTGCCTCTAGGAAATGCAGAACTAAGGAAATACAGTACTTTTGATATGAAGAAAAAGAACAGGAGAGTGTGTGGAATACACATGCAAAGTTTAAGTGGTTCAGTCGATAACTTGTCTATCTCACATCTGTTAGAAATGGCAAACTTCTCATGTACAGAGCTACTGTGAGATACCAGGCCTGTGACTTCCATGGAGGAACCTCTTTCCCCTTAAGCTTTTACGTCTAGTCTGTGTCTAGGTCTTCGTGCTGTGGTCTGTGTGCTCTTACCAAAGTCCTTAAACAGGAAGGTCATGTTTAAAGACTAGGAGAGGTGCTTATGCTCTGCCCATCCTCATCTGATCTCTGTATTTTTATTGTTTTGCCAAAGACTTGTTTCTGGCTGTAATGTGTGCCCTGCTTTTACCCAGAACCTGTATGGGTAATTTTGCTGGTGTGTAACTTGAACTGCATCACCCTTCCCTTTGTTTCCTCAGATTCATAGAATGGTTTGGGTTGGAAGGGAGCTTTAAAGGTCATCCAGTTCAAATCCCCCTGGACTGAATGAGCAGGAACATCTTCAACTAGATCAGGTTGCTCAGAGTCCCATCCATCCTGGCCTTGAATGTTTCCAAGGATGGGGCATCCACCACCTCTCTGGGCAACCTGTGCCAGTGTTTTACCACCCTCATTTGTAAGAGTTTTCTTCCTTATGTCTAGTCTGAATCTACCCTCTTTTAATTTAAAACCATCACCTCTTGTCCTGTCACAACAGGCCCTGCTAAAAAGTCTGTCCCCATCTTTCTATAGACTGCCTTTAAGTATCGAAAGGTCCTTTAATTATTGATTAGGTCTTGGTGGAGGATTTTCTCCTCCAGGCTGAACAATCCCAGCTCTCTCAGCCTTTCTTCATAGGAGAGGTGCTTCAGCCCTCTGATCGTCTTCGTGGCCCTCCTCTGGACCTGCTCCCACAGGCTGTGTCCCTGTGTTGGGCCCCCAGAGCTGGATGCAGCACTCTGGGTGGGATCTCACAAGAGCAGAGTAGAAGGGCAGAATCACCTCCCTCGACCTGCTTCTTTTCATGCAGCCCAGATTGGCTTTCTGGGCCACGAGTGCACTTTGCCAGCTCACATCCAACTTGCCATCCACCAGTACCTACAGTGCAGGATTGCTCTCAATCTCTTCATCCTCCATCATCCTGTATTGATATTGATTTTAAAGTCCTTCTGCTGCTCTATCTCTCTGCATCTCCCATAACATGTGAGCTACTCTTAAGGACTTCTGTAAATTGTGACAGTTGATCATCTCTTAAATGCTATCAGCAAGCATATTGTCGTCTTCTTTTGGCAAAAATTGGAATTAGCCAAAGCTAATTGCTAGGTATGTACCTGCAAATGAACACTTTTGCGTTCATCCATGCTGCCTTTCACTGTTGCAGACATCTAGTTTTATTGTAATGCTTTCTGCAAAACCATGGGGTTTTGTGTGCTTGTGACAAGTTTGACAGCTATCCATCCATCTTCTAGTGCATGGAGTTTCAGTACCAGAGGGTTTGTTTGGTTCTTTTGTACTCCTGTCTGGCTTTTACATCCTTCATTTCTTACACATCTAAGTGCTCATGTTCAGAGAAGTTGCAGCACCCCGTACACTGGCTCCTGACCCTGTGTTGGAGCTGCCTCTGTAGGCCTGTCAAGTAAAGTTGTGGTTCAACCTGGCAACAAAATTGCTTTTCAATTAAAAGTGAAAGGAAGGGGTGGGGGGAACAGAAGCTCATGGGAAAGCTGAAGAATTCAACAAGAAAATAATTCTGAAAATTGAGCATTCAAAGGGTATAGTAAAATTATTTGTGCATGGAATATAACACATACACTTCATTTAAAAATAAAAAGGAATTTATGCCTTAGTTACAGTTGCTCAAGAAATAGAAGCTTTTGTTTCTGTTCTCATCTTAGAGTGAAAAGACAAAATTCTTTTTTCCCCCAGGTCTTTTTTTTTTAAATTCAGGAGAGGGTGTCAATGCATTTTACATCAAAAGAACTTTAAAACTGACAGCTGTTGTTGCAGCCATCATTTCAGGTTTCATCAACTGACTATAAAAGAGGAATGGTTTTATTGAAATATTGAAAGTGATTGACATGTGCTATGTTGAGTTCAACATATATTTAATTATTCCTGCAAGGAGGGGTACTCGGATTCAGGGCTATCTCCCTGCCTTGATCATCACTCCTCAATGATGGTCTTAAAAAGGTGACTGTGGAGCAGGGGGAGAGAGCAGAGCCTACAAGCCTGGGCAGGTGACTTTGTGTGCAGCTGCCTAGGGGTGGAAAATGTAGTATGAAGCTGGGGGGCAATGAGTCCCTTGTCTTGGTCCTCCCAGGGCAGGAAAATAGGGACTGAGGAAAGATAACAAAGCTGAGAGACTTCTGAAAGTGTCTGTAAAGGTACATGGGTAGGAAACAAAATGAGCAGAAGAAAGAACATTTGTCATTAATCACACAATTTTCTTCTAATTGTTATAATTACTAATAGGTTTGGGAATCTTGTTGATGTTCTCTAACATGATTGTAAGAAAAACTTTTCTGTTTGTCCTGTCTGGAAGAAATAATAAATCTAGCAAGCAAAGGCTATATTAAAATCCAAAAATGGCTTGTAGCTAAATTTCTTTCTCGGATGATCCTAGTTCTTAACTTCTTCCATTCCCTGTG